ATCCTAAACTGACCTCCATCCCCCAACCCACCCACCCACACACAAGCACAGAAGAACACACACAAAATCAAATTCAACATGTCTCCCCTCCTCCAATTTTCCAAGTGCTCCTCATAAGTCATTTTAGTAGGGACTCTTCTAAAGCTACCTCGAACCTTGTGAGTGATGTATCTTTCACTTATTATCAAGGGAACTTCTAGAACAGTGGACTTCACACACAACAGAGTTCAACAGCAGAAATCATGCTTACCTCCCCCAAATCTTCACATTTCTACCCCTATAAAAACGCCTCTCTTGTCCTACAAGAAATCTTGATCTTGCTTCCCTGGGTGTCACTTCCTTCTGAATTACGCTTGGAGAGCAAAAAATCAAATGTCCTTTTGTACCCTGGAAAGCAATTGCAGGCCCTATCACTCTCTGCCCCCCCACCTCACATGTAATTTATACATTGGTTTTCAGTGAAATACACCCTCTCCAAACACATCCTCTTTCCGTTTGGAAGACAGACTCTGCAGCTCTGACCTTGTTCCTTGTAAATAAGGAAACTGAATTCCCCATCCGGGAGAGAACAAATCACTTAATCTTCTGGATAAATGAGCCAGTCATTTGCCTGTCCTAAAGATGACTTTCTCTTAAGAAAGTTGGGCTGTGGAAAAGTTGTTCTAAATCACTCTTAGGTATCTGCATAGTAAATTGAACAGTTCTGTGTTTTCCTTTGGGAAGAGGCCTGCTCTCTCACAAGTTCTGTGGGTTAGCAACAAAAATGTTTACAGTAGCAGCCAGGCACCAGTAGTCAACTTTACCTTTAGCATACAGTCCAAACTAGAGGAAGTTAGAGGAACAAACAAAACCAAGTAAGAAAACACTAATGATGCAGTCCATGTACCTGGGGATGCAAGACCCATGGCTACTGAAGAGGCTAGTGGGAAAGCTCTTGTGCTACACTGAGAACACACCATGCAAGGAGGGGGAGGAAGGGAGACTAGTTGAGCATCTCACTGGACTGGTGGATGTGCCTCGATCACTCTCTGCTCATGTGTTCCTGAAGAGTTTATGCTACAACCTGCATAGCTCAAATGGGGAATTTGGAGTCTGAGAAATACAGTCATTTGTCCAAAAATCATACAGTGAGGAAATGGCCAAGTGGACACTTGTGTCCACCCATCACTAGGCCTCTGCTATTAAAGGTCCTCCTTACTGGTTTCTATCAAATTGCCTCTGTGGAAAAAGGTCTTGGACCTCTCCACATTCCACAATTTCTTATTGCACTACAGAAGCCCTGTTAAAGGCCATTCTCATAAATGTGGCACTTGAAGAGAATGAGGAGAGGGTTTTTTAAATTCTTTTTTTGCAGAGACTTGTTTCACCCACTCACTCAGAAGCAAGCTTCAGGATTCTGCTCAGCATCTGGTCTAGGCAGTGTCTCAGGAGCATGTGTCTCTGTGCTGGGCCATGGGTCAAGCAAATCCACAAGTATTGATTCTATTGCTCAAAAGATATATGATATTCTAATATTCATAGCCATGGTTTGCTAGTGGCGACCATTTACCAGGAACCATGCTAAACATGTTTCAAATATCCTCATGCAATTTTCCCAAAACAATCTTTGAGAGGACTTTTTTCAGTTAATAAGGTGGTATGAGATGCGTCTCTGACCCCCTCATCACCCATACCACCTTCAGGCTTTTCTCTGGAAGGAAAAGAGTGAGAAAGAATAAGTATAGAAAATATGCTTTTGTTATTTATTTATTTATTTTATGTGTATGTGTGTGCCTGAGTTTGTGTATGTTCCTGCAGAGGCCAAGAGATTGGATGTTGGATCCTCTAGAGCTAGAGTTGCAGGCCACAAATGTGGGGAACACAACTTAAGTCCTCTGGAATTGCAGTCAAGTGCTCTTAACTGCTGAGCCATCTCTCCAGTCCTCCACATTCCCAAAGCATGTTTTCAAAAGTCTGTTGTCTGAGGGAGAGGGTTTGTTGGACTTTTAAAGTGGCATCATGATGGATAAGAAGAGCCTGGTCAGATGAAAGTGGGATAAAAAGAGGTGAAAATAGATAAAGGGAGTGATGTTTATAGATACAGAGAGAGGGAGAAGGTAAGAAAGGGTGGCAGTCTGCAAGGACTGAACGCACCCTAAGAAAAAGAGTGAGAAAGGACTGGTACCATCCTCCAAGCTCTGAATACGTGTGTGGCGTTCCATGAACAGGAGTAATAGTTCTCTGGTGAAGGACCGTGTTCACGAACTATTGAAGAACAAAACAAAGTCCACCCATTTTACAGAGAAGGAAGCTGAGGCACAGGAGTTAGTCATTCCCTTATGGAAGTGCCAAGCCAAAGTTTGATCTCCAATTTCACACTTCTGTATTCCTGGTATTAATAACATGGCTAAGTCTAAAATGAAGGAACTGCAGATGTCAAAGCAGAGATTAAAATTAAAAGCAAGGGTGGTTTCATATGCTACTTAAAATTCTGGGCTGCATATTCACACTAGAGCCTGTTAACATTTGTTATGTGAACAAGTCCAGAAAGCCTATGTGTGATTCAAAAAAATAGAAGCTACCTGAGCAATAGGTAGTCCTGGCTGAGGGCCATCTAAGTTCATAGGTTTCCACAGTTGAGCTTTATTTCTATGGCTGCATATGAGAGAGTTCTCCTATGAAAATATTCTATGAGTCCAAAAGCATTTAAAACCTCAGAACTCCAAGGAAAGAGAGATTTCACAGCTAAAGTGATAGCGCAGAATGCCATCCTAGGTCATATAGGATGCAGATTTTCTTCTGAAATTATAGGAAATTTGTAGGGGTTAAATGCCTACATGATTCATGACCTTTTAAGGTATATTCAGCAAAGATCCCAACACAAATAAAATTACTAGTTAAAAATTGAGGGAAATAAAAATTTGGTTTGGAAGGTCAGAGTATCCCTAGGTACATACTTTCAGAAAGATATGAAAATTTTGTAGGATACATATAAACTATTGTAGATAATAAATTAGAAATAGGTGTTTGGCTTAGATAACTTCTTAAGTGAGAGAAAAAAAAGTGTTTCAGAGTCAAGTAAATACACAGAGAAGAGGCTGCTGTGTGATTCACTTTTTTAGCTGTTGACAAATAGGACCAGAGTCCTGTTTCACCTGAAACCTGGAGCATTAAATCAGTTGACTTCAGCCTCCTCTTACCTTGTGATCCCTCAGGTTTAATTATTCAGATCACAGGTCATCAGAAAATACAACTGAAAATGCTAAGAGCACGGACCTAAAGTCAGGTAACCTCAGTGCGAATCTAACCCATGACCACTGAATAACCATTTGATACTGGAATAAAAATGTTTAAAAATTTGACAATGGCCCAGTGTGGTGGCGCACGCCTTTAATCCCAGCACTCGGGAGGCAGAGGCAGGCGGATCTCTGTGAGTTCAAGGCCAGCCTGGTCTACATAGTAAGTTCCAGGACAGCTGGGGCTACAGGGAGACCCTGTCTCAAAAAAAAAAAAAAAAAAAAAACAAGGAAAAAAAATTGACAATGTCCTGAGTTTTACATATAAATTTAAGGGGCAAGACTGATCTTCCACCGGATACTGACAACCAAGAGAAAATTCCCTACTGAGCTGAACATTCTGATTCTCACCATATCTTTCCCTGAAGGCTCTTTGGGTTATCTGGAGTTTGTCCCAACTGAGAGTACTACTCTTAAATTATTTTTATTGTTTTTTTGTTTTTCTTTCTTTCTTTGGTTTTGGTTTTGGTTTGGTTTGGTTTTGGGTTTTTTTTTTTAGATAAGGCTATGTTACCCAGGCTGACCTTAAGTCATTATGTAACCCAGGCTGGCCCTAAAGCTTGTGCTTTCTCTGCTTCCAGTACTGGTGGATCTAACAGGAACACCTGTACTACCACATCTGGCTACCCTTTGATTCTTTAATGGAACTTTTCCCCTGCATCATCCTCACTGCAGGACTCCAGATGAATCCCTGACCTTTTGTCAAGGTAAGAAGGAATACTTAGATAGAATTCGTTGAATTCTATCTATCTATCTATCTATCTATCTATCTATCTATCTATCTATCTTTGTATTATCTATCTATCCATACATACATACCTGCATGGAGTGGGGGGGCTCCAGTTATCTGAGCTATTCCTCAAATTTCTCAACTTCTTTTAATTAACTTTTCAGAATTAAAAAGGACTTTTCATTGCAATGTTATCTGACTTGTTTATCTTAAAGAGAAATGAATTTTGACTGCCAAATTAATTGTCATCATTAACCTAATGCAAAACCCTCTGTCCTCTGTGTTCTGTCCCTGTGTTCCTCTACCTTATTATTTATTGTGCATAGTAAAAAGACCTCCCTGTGTATTTTTCTTTCCCACTAGACTCGAGGCTTCTTGACCAGGTACCTTGTCTCGGTCATATCCGTTTCCTTAGCATCTGGTCTCTTCCAGCCTCTTGGAGATTATTAATTAGTATCATTTGGAAGAGAGGTCATACAATGTGATGTTGTGCAAATAAATCCTGGAACCAAATCATTTAAGGTCAGGTCTAGCTCCACCACTCTGGGAGCTCATGTAAGACTCTGCACCCCAGTTTCCTCTCCTGTAGAACTGGTGCAATACATAGCCTGAAGAATTATTCTAAGAATTAAATTAGCAAATGCAAATTGTTTTCAACAATGTGCTGAATTCACTGCATATAATTAGTGGTCCCCATTTATTAGCTAGGGTTTATTGTGAGCTTTCATCAAACTAGACTATTATTGATCAGCCCTTTCCTGGGATGAGCTAACTCATTCTACAGCAGGTCTTCTTTCCACCAGACATTGACCAGGAACAATTATCTGCCCCTCCAACATTCATTCTTAGCTTCACCACCCAGATTTCAAATGGACATAGAGTAGGACGGGAAGGTCAAATAGAAGCCAGACATGGTAAATTCAAAGAGTCAAGTCTTCAACAAGCTGGAGCCCCCTGGACACTGGAGGGCATGCCCCTATTTGACTCAGCCTCACCTTGTGGAACTGTGGTGGGTAGATCCTTGCAGCCCCGTAGTTCAGCAGCAGCTGGTAGCAGAGCTCAGGCTGAGCTGCAGGACGCACAGAAGTGACTTTCATCACATACTGGATGGCCGCGCAGCCGTTGACATCCATGAGGTTGGCCTCGGCACCTGCTTCCAGCATCATGTTCATGAGCACGTGGTCGCAGTTCCAAGCAGCCTTGTGCAGTGGGGATTTGAAGTCGTCATCACGGGCATTGACCTCGGCATTGTTGTCCAGCAGCATGCGGCAGATGAGGTGGTGCTCTCTGCTGTACTCCTGCTCCTTGTAGCGCAGGGCCCAGTACGTGGCGATGGCCAGTGGGGTCTCCAGGTGGGCGTTCATGCTGTCCACTACAGCCCCGTGCTCCATGTAGAAGTCCACCAGCTCCGAGAGGCCGAAGTGGGCAGCCGTGTGCAGGGGTGTCTCCTCGTCCTGGTTGTTGGTCTTCATGTTCACGTTAGCACCTATGAAGGGAAATTGAGACAGACAGCTGTTCAAACCTATTTTACACTTATCTTACCATTGTTTTTATGACCATCTTCATATGGATTATCCTGAATCTCTGACCAGCATGCATGAGTCCCACCCAACCCAAAAGGCCATTTCTGGATCTAGCAGAAGTCAGTCCTCAAAACAACAAAGCCATCTCCTAGATGCCTAGCAGATGCCCAGGATATAGGAGCTAAGGCTTTTTCCAAAGGCTGAAGCTATGTTGGGTATCATTTCTTCACTACCAGGTGTATTTGGAAGTGATTTCTATAACAAAAATAGTTTTTTATCATCAAAATGGCAAACACTGTTAAAAATAAAGACTTTTGTAATTAAAAAAAATAAAATAAAAACTTTAAAGGGTGGGTGATACGGTTCAAAAGGTAAAGGTCCTTGTGGCTAAGCCTGGCCACCTGAATTTAATTCCCAGGGCCTGTATGATAGAAGGCAACCTGTGACCTCTGGCATACACAGGTACACAAACACACACACACACACACGAAATAAATATAATTTTTAAATCTAAAAAATGAAGGTTCTAGGGGCTGGAGAGATGGCTCAGTGATTCAGAGTGAGAATGGCTCTTCCAGAGGACCTGAGTTCAATAGCACCCAAGTCAAGCAGCTCACAAGTGCCTGTAACTCCGCTTCCAGGGGATTCTACACCTCTGGCCTCCCCAGGCACCTACATTCACAAACACATAGTCTTGTGCAGATACACACACACATACCTACACATCACTTAGAAAATAATTAATGATAACAATAATAATTTTAAATCTTTAAAATAAAGTTTCTATTTAAAAAAAAAAACCCTGAAGTTCATGCAAGTGACTTTAAATTTGTGTGTGTGTGTGTGTGTGTGTGTGTGTGCGCTTGCTTGTTTGTATGTGTACCATGTGTGTGCAGGTGCCCTCTGAGGCCAGAAGAGGGCGTCAAATCTCCTAGAACTGGAGTTACAGGCAGTCTTTGGCTGCCATGTGGGTGCTGGAAACCAAACCTTGGTCCTCTGCAAGAGCAGTCAGTGCTCTTAACCACTGAGCCATGTCTCCAGGCCCTAAAATTTGTTTTGAATGTTTTATAGTGTCTTTCTTCTCTTTCAAAGCAGGTGGACCTGAAGTTTGGTGCAAACCAACTGTGTTGACATGGAAATTACCCCATCCTTTGGCTGAAATCACAACATCAGGAAGGCTAATTCTTTAGAATGCAGTGAAAACACACACACACACACACACACACACACACACACACACACACTTTCAGGAACTAAAACAGCCGCAACGTCATATTGCATTGAAATGTGTAGACGTTAATATTATAAAACTAGTCACAGCTGGGGCTACAGAGAGACTCTGTCTCAAAAAGGCCAAAACAAAACAAAACAAAACAACAACAACAAAAAAAAAACCTAGTCACTGGAAGAAAGAAAGAAATACAAAGACTATGGAATGTTCGTGGGTGGCAAATGATTTAAAAATACAATTTTTATGTGATTGAAAAGCATCTTAGAAATTATTCATTCAACCCACTAATTTAACAACCCAAGAAACTGAGGTGAATTTTATTTTCTGACAAGGAATGTTAAGTATTAGAATGACCAACTTGAGAAGCTGGAATTTCCTTTTCTGCCTAACTTAATAGGGTGAACCAAATATGACTCATAGGGGCCAACTTCATAACAATTCTACTAGAAATTTTCATAGCTATTTCAAATATATATCCAAAGAGATTATTATTATTACTATGCCAATAACAATATTAATGTAGTATTGAACCATGTGCAACATTCTGAGGTAAATGCCATTCACAGACTGCCATATCGAATCATCCCAGCAATGTTGTAATAGGTATAGTTTTTATCCCAATTTTACAAATGAAGGCATTTGCACTTGGGTTAGCAGTTTACCCAATGTACACCAAATTAGTGAGCAGTAGGACAAAGATTTGCAAGCAGACAGGCTGGTTTTGAAATCCCTCATTACTGTGCTATTCTAATTATTTTTCTGCAGGAAAATCACTAATGCTTGATATATAAAAACCAGATGTTGTATAAGTCACACTACATTTTATATATTTTCAAATATCTTATCCCATGAATTCCTCCTTCTTGGCTTTATTGACAGCATTTCTTGATTATGTGAATTATATTTGAAGAAGGAAATCTCCCATAAACATGCTCAGTGTCCGCTTATGAAATCACAGACACCTCTCCAGGGAGGTTTCTGCAAGAGCAATGCTTGGCAAACTCTGAGGCTGTTCTCCCTTGCAGAAAGAAGAACTGCAATCAAAGCCCACCTTTAGCTGGGCCCATGTTCATCAGTATTCTGGCCTGGAAGGGTTCTGGGTAAGGTCTCCTTTCAAGTCAGGTCTCTGCTGCAGAGTCAAATAGAATGAATGAGAATGTCTTCCCAGAAGCCCTGGACAGGGTCACTGCAGCCACTGGAGAATTTCCAGTAAGAAAGAGAATCAAAGGGTCAGGATGAAATTTTTGCAGGCCAACTTAGAACAAACCACATTCTTTGTCTTTTAATGGACTTGGGCATTTACAACTGAACCTTAACCTCTTAGTACAACTGGATGTGGGCAGAGTTGCCTTTTCGGAATAGGAGCCTCTTATTTTGATACTTGAACCCTGTCTCTGGGAGCATCGTTCCCAAAGAATATATAACACTTTTTGATTTTAGATGTTTGTGATTTCTTCAGGAAATTAGAACTCAAACAAAGTTGGGGGAACTTCTACAACTATTTTTTTAACCTGAGGATACAATCTATTAGTGTCCAAGAAGTTCCAAAATAAAGTATCATAGAGAGGAAAACTTAAAATGAGAAATTTATCATCCCACAGCACTGGAACCTATAAGTCTAAAGGTGCTGGTATCAAAGGTGCTTTCTGAGGGCTCAAGGAAAATCCATCTCAGCCTCTCTCAGTTTCCAGTGATGGCTGGTGAGCCTTGGAGTCCCTTTGCTCATAGAAGTGTCACTTTAATCTTGGCCTTCATCTACACCCAGCATTGTCTCTGCATTTTCCTTCTTATAAGAACACGTATGGCTACAGGGACCCCACCCCCACCCCACTCCACCAGACCTCATGCTTTTCTAGGGACTGTATCTGCAGCAATGCTGTTCCCAAGAAAATTCACAGGCTGAGGTCCTAGACATTAGACATTTTTGTTCTTGTGGGACATGGCAGGGGCACAATTCAAACTTAAAATACAACATATACTGTATAAAACATAAAAATATGTATGTGCAGTTCCAACTGTTATGGTAAAGCCACCTTTCATGTCACCATAGCTCAACTCAAGCAAAATTTTCTAGATGCAGAAAAGTACTCCACCTTCCTACTCCTCTCCCCATCAGAACTCCATCCCACCAGAGGTAACTATGACCAGATAACCAGCGTGTTTGAACAACCAAGTCTTCAAATCATTTTTAACTTTTACAAAAACTTTGAGAATTTCATACATGCATATAAGGTGTTTTGATCAAATCCATGCCCACTCCCTCCCTTCCAACACCTCCCAAAATATCTTATTATTTTTATTTTATGTGTATGCATGTATTGCCTGGTGCGTGCACCTGTGTCATGCAATGCCTGCAGAAGACAGAAGAGCCTGTCGAATCCCCTGAAACTGGAGTTACCGACAGTTGTTAGCAGCCATGTAGGTGCTGGGATTCGAACCCAGGTCTTTTGCAAAAACAGTCAGTGTTCTTAACTGCTGAGCCATCTCTCCAGCCCCTTCAAATCATTTTTCAGTCTTGCCACTTTTGCGTAGAGCTCTAAACCAGACCATTTAGTTTTATTTTTTTAACTTTAAATAAATAGACTCTTAAGCACATACTGTTTTGTTTTGCTTCATTCACTCAACATTATGTTGGGACGTTTAGTGCTTGTTTGTTCATTTTATCAGATCTCGTCTCTCAGAATAAGTTATTCACAGTTAATGGGTTCTACTGGTGACAGATGTTCCCAGTTTCAGGCTATTCCAAACACTGCTGCGGTGGACATTCTTGTACCCCCATGTTCACATGCAGGAGTTCCCTGGGTTCTATTCCTATGAGTAGACTGGCAGTCATCAAGTATACACATTTTCCCTTTCATTAAGCAGAGTCAACACGAGCTGTTGAACCAGTGTATTCACCAATGACACGTGTGAGGGCTCTCTGTGACCCACATCTTCAATACTGAAATTTTTAGTCTATTTAATTTCATCCATTCTAATAGGTACATAGTGATACCTCATTGTATATTAATGTTTTTCTCTAGTTACCATTTAAGTTAGATGGAATATAATACTTGTAATCTTATTATCACTTTGCATACTATTTAAAAATAACTATATTAAATTTCATGGAGTAAATGTACCCTAATACTTGTTCACACAGTTTCTTTGCCAGCAATTTGATCTTATAAACTAATGCTACAATTAATAAGCGGATGTAAATTTTAGTATTGCTCCCTTGGAATAAATTCCTCCAAATATAATTGTTACACTAAAGCAGCTGAAGTGCGTTAAGGGTCTTTGTGAAAGATTGTCCAAAGTTATATCACATTTCTCCCATTGATGCAGCAAAGTAGCTATTTCACCCATCAGTGTGTTAGACATATTTTAAATTCATGCTAATTGAGAAGGTTAAAAAAGTCTCATTTCTTAAAATTGAAATTCATTTAGACTAATTATTAACTATTACAATCTCTTCTTTAATTAATTGTCCAAATAGTCATCTGTTTGTATATTGAACTTTCTGCATCATTTCTGTTTTTATGAGCTCTTCATCCAATTAAAATGTGAGCTCAAACTCTCTTAATGTGACATCCTTTTAGCCATTTTATTTTGATTTTTCCTAAATATAGTGATGACATTAATAAATTTTGTAATGTTTTTCTTTTTTACTTTTATTATAATGTCTTACTTCTTCAGGGGTTGTATAAGCATCCCAGTTAATTATAATGTAGTTTCTTTAGATTTGGGGAT